TCTCAACTACTGCACTTTTACTGTGTTCCTTGCACAGGCACTTGTCCTTCCTCATTTGGATGTACTTTGCCCCCTTAAGCTACTCGTACCATTAACTTCAGATTGGTTACTTCTCAGCTGTGTAGTAAAAATCTTTGTGTTATACTTCTTTCTAAATGTTTTGGATGTTTATTTGGTCGCTTCTTACCTATAGGAGATTTTTATTTATGCATCCTAAGAATATAAGTTGGGGATAGAAATGCTAACTTTTTAATCATTTTGGATTTTCTTGCTAATAAAAACAGCAATGTCCGTGTAAGTGTTGACTTTCTACAAATTTCTTTTAGCTTGTTATCCTGTCCTTCAGGTGCAAATGTGATTATGTCTTTTAAACACATTTAGATTTTTGTTTTTCCTTTTTTGATTCCAGACAGTATCATTTGCTTCCTGCCTATTAGGCCTTTTATTTAATATGCATTAGCCTGAAACATTCCATGAAAAATGTGTTGAAAGTGAATTTTAATATATTTCAGAGACTTAATAGGTATTAATAGAACAATAATACCAGTAACAGGCAAAAACTGGATCTGTAGCTTTACAGCTTGTAAATTAAAGCCAATGTACTAAGGGCAAACAGCATTAAGAGAACATCATTTGAACATTAAAGAAATTGTGTTTGTAATCAGAACATTTGCCAAAACCATATCCAAAGATGTAAAGGTCCTCTAACACGCTTCTTTTGCAGCATGCATTTATACAGCTCCTGATGTCTTCATCTGTCTAATTTAATTAAGTATTTGAAAGTGCAGCCAGAAGGATAATTACTACAGGAGTACCAGATACAAATACAACTTAAGTGGAGGTAATGTTTGCAAAATGTGGTCTGCCGACAGCCTTGGATATAGGACTCTCTCTCTCTACATGAGAATAGGGATGGATTCCTATCTTAGGTAGAGCATCACAGAGAATCAAGAGATTTGACTAGTTGCTCTTCTACTCTGTTTTCAATCTCTGACTTGAAAGTACATTGGCACACCACCTGGATAAGAACATCTTTGAACTCAGTGTTGCTTGAAGAAGAAAGTGATCTTCCTAGCTGGAGTTTGAGTGTAGCTGAAAAAAAGAAGGGACGAACTTTTCTATTTTTTTTTTCTTCTTTGTAATTTCCAGGGTTTTCTTATAGTTTGTCTGCTCTGAGATTTCTGTTAAGAAAATTAATCTTCCCAAGTCTTTTTTTCCAAGTCACATGAAATGTGGTCATGTTCCCAACCTTGCTAACATCCCCAAGCACTTTAGAACATTTCCAAACATGAGACTTAATTCCATGCACATAAAGAATTTTGAAAAATGATTCTGGTGAGAGGGGGTGCATCTTGAAATGCAAAGCTATGGACAAGGTGTCTAGAAAGTGATCAAGAACAGATAGATACAGTGGACAGCTAGTCTTTTGAACAAGTAGTGTTTTATATGCATTCTGTCCTCAGTTTCTGCCAATAAGAGGGCTTTTCATCAGTTCTCATGGTAGATTTTGATAAATTGTATCTATCAGTGGGGATTTTTTTTTTAAACCAAAAAGAAATAGCTTAATGGAAACAGTACATACACAGTCATTAATAGATCATAGATGATAGATGACAGCAACCACTTACAAAATCTGTTCACTCAAAGAAGTGAGTGAAAATTGAAAAGACAATTAAAAAACTATGGACTAATCTCTAGCTAGGTGATCATCATAAGCTCAATAGTTGTTTTGTGTCTAGCTGTGCATGTCCTATCACTTTAGGCTCTGGTTTTCTTGGCATACAGCTAAAATTCTTGTGTTTACTTTCTAGGTAATTCAGTCACTAATAGTTTACTCTTTTGAATCCTGTCTGTGATCCTGTAATATATTTTCAACTTTTCTGCATTGGCTGTTATCATACTCTGTTTCCTCCCTTCTATTTCGTATTTCTGTTGCTTTCTAACACTACCTGCTGTAGTGACCCTGTAATCATTTACACCAAAAGTGGCCTGTCTGCTTATATCCCTTACAAGGTCTCCATAACAGTGAGAACCAGATGCTCTGTTCCCACCTTGAGGAATAGGGGCAAGGCTATCTCAGGTTGTGTGAAATTGATGGACTTCAGCATTTCCAAGGCATTTCCAACTTTCCTCTTGTTTGACACTGGCACTTTTAAAACCTGTGGTATGTATTAATATTACAGTAAAGAACTAGCCAGAGCCTCTTAGCACAAGGTGTACACACCTCTACATACTCCAAGAATATTCCTATGAGAGAGAGTGGTAGACAAAGACCACCATTTCTGCCTTTACCTACAACAGCAGGAGTTTACCTAGGAGTATCAGGGGTCTTTTTCTGAGACCTCTTCTGCCTCCTTCTACAGTCAAACTCCAGTCCTGGGCTTCAGTTTTCACCCACTAGTCCTTTCCTGTATGCTGGAAGGACCAGCATCCCAAGAGAGAAAAATCAGTTTAATGCCTTGTAACCCTTTCAGATTCCCTTATGTCAACGTCTGTACATGAAGTTAACTCATGCAGTAAATTAGGCAAGAGTAAAAAAGACACTAAGGAAACATTCTTAAATGAAATACTTTAAAGGGCTCAAAATCCTCAAATTGCTGCTGAGCATAACTTGAAAACTAACTTGGAGTTTAATTTGTTTCTCTTCTCAAAGTGACATGGGTTTTGCAGTCATGCTCTAACATTAATGCTTTAAGGGACTAAAACCTTATTTTAAAAATGGAATTAAATCCATCTTTAAGGCCCATAGGGAACTGCCAGAATAGGTATTTATATGACCACATACTTTTAAAGTTTCATCTTCACTGTAAAATGGGCATTGCTAGTGGGCATTGCTAGTGGGCATTACAGGGAGACAGCAAAGTCAAGGGAAAATCCTAATAGAGGAATTGCATGACAGTCTTTACTTAAGGACATAGATCATAAAGTACGGGAGGAGATTTCAGTAATATTTGTTTTATGCTAAAGGCATGTTCCATGCATTTGTTTCAAGGCACCAGATAAGGGAATTCAGGACAACTGAATATTGTCAAAGGAATCAAACTGAGAGTTTTGGAGTCCAGTTAAGAGGTGCCTAAAACTAGGAGGGTTTTCTGAGAGCAGAGTTGGCAATTGGCCACAGCTGCAATACAGATAAGTTTGCAAATGTTGTAACAAAAAAAGAAAACTTTGAAAACTTGGAACAAAATAAAGGAATATCAATGGAACAAAATAAAGGAATATCAACATACAATTCTGAAGGATCCATTCTCTCCCAGAATTTTAGAAGAGTTATATTCTCGGATAATACAAAATTGTATGAAAGATTAGCCAGTTCAGATGCTGTCTTAAGGGCTTCTCTGTAGCATATAGTAATTTTGGAAGAAAGCTTTCAGAATACTTTCATGTGTGGATGCTCCTTAACATGGAATAGGAGTCCCTGATCTTTGTTTACATTAAATTATTTTGAAAGGAATAGGTTTAAAAGTGTTTATGTACATAAAAGCAATAAAATGCAATTATATCTTGTAGTGCATTCGCTAGAGCAACTGGTGCAAAACATTTTCCCTTTTTTCTTCCTCTAGTTGGTTAGAGAAATAGCAAATAAGTCTGGAAAGGATCTCAGGATTGATTCTTTTTACCTCATCATGGATGATTATGTTTAACCAAAAATTTATGTTCATTTTTTTCAAATATCATAGATGAGCCTTTTATAAGCTTGTAAATGATCAAAAGCTCAGTTTATTTAGGACAGAGAAAAAATAACCATATATACCTGCTACCTGTAAGAAGTTAAATTTGGTATCTTGCTCTGGATGAACTGATGTTGATTATTACAGATAGTTAGCATAGTTAGCCATTCTCCAACTAGTAACAAAGCTTGACAACCAGCAGTTATACTTTGTTCTCACTGAGAAGTTAGGAAGGCTCCAGCTTCTCCATTCTGGGGTTACTGAGCTGCTACTGACTTGCTGTATGATACTTGGCATTTATTTTGGAGTCTGTCAGAAACCCTGAGAAGGTCATCTGACTGAAAAACAAATATTTTAAAACCTGAAAATCTCTCCAGGTTCCCTAGCCTACTACTGTTTCACAACTGTTAACATTAAAAAGCTTTTTCTGTTATCTAAGCTGAACTTTCTCTCTTTAAAATCCAGTTTAAATTTGTTATTTATTATCATTTTCTCTGTGAATATTGTTTTTCTCTTTTCAAAAACTTATGTTCTTGAAATCTGTTTGTATGTTCTTAGTCTTTTTTAGGCTGACTCAAATTTTGATTAGATCTCACTTAGAATATGAATTTAAGGTCTTACTTTCAATGGGAGTTTTTCCTTTGGTTTCTCTGAGGAAAAAAAAAAGCTGAAGCCAATGCCAAATTGTTATAGTCTGAATATTAAAGAACACTTGAAATTGATTTTAACATTATACACTTTTTTTTTAATAACAACAAAAATATTCTACAATTTCATGAATATGTGAATACTATTATGTATAAGCTAAATATCTAAGCATCTCTAATTAAAAATCAAGAGGAAAAAGAAAACTAATGGGCATAGTCTTCAGCTTCTGAATTGACCTTAGCCTGCTTTGTCTACCTTACAGGCTAAATCTTCCTTCCAGATTTGTCATCTACTGCAAGGATATAATGAGTCAACCTTACTATGTTGAACCTAATTGGTACACTTGTCTCTTTTCCTTTGCAGATTGTCTCATTCTAGATAGATGATTGTATAGTTATTGTGTACTTTCACAAGTATCATTTTAACACATTTGTGGATGAGTGTGGGCCCATAACTTTAGATAATGCTGCTGTTTTCTGATTACAGTAACAACAGCTATGTTAGTTGGCTTGTACTTGTTTTGGCACAGTTGGATTGCCCATAACTATGGACTCTGGAAACTTGTAAAAAACTTACAATATTTCATTAAAGTAAAAATTGCTTAATAATTTTGTACATAAATTCTAAGTAGTGATTAATATAAAAATATATATTCAATATTTTTTTCTATTTGTTTTACAGGAAACTGGCACATAGTTCTCAGGAAGCTCATGCAAGTATAAAACCTATTGTACTGGTGGAGTGTTAAATAAAAATCACCTTTAAATTGATTAGATCATGGTCATTTCAGAGCAAAAAGACCTTTAACTTATGAACAGTGCTCTTCACAAACCAGGTATTTAAATGGAGATTGAAGCTCAGGTGACTAAAGACATATGAAAAGCAAGATGAAATGCAAAATGTCATATTAAATGTTTGAGAATTCATTGAAACATGCCAAATGATTATTGATGAAATACTAAGATTAGAGCTAGAATTCTACAGACAAAATCAGTTTTGAGTTTTCACTGAGAAATATTCTGCTGTGATAAGGTTAAACTAGAACAATGGTCATTATGGGGAGTACTCTACAGGTTTAAACAGCAATGATAGAAGAAGTTGTGCAAAGGTATATGAAAAGTGTACAAAAAGGTGTATTAAGATCTTTGTATTTAGTTGAGAAAGCATGCTGAAAACTAGCTGGGCAGAAAGAAGGAAAAATCATTAGATATTAAAAGGAATGGCATAGACCAGAGAACAGGTTGTCAGCGCAGGAACTTGAGATAAATGATAGGTGAGAAATGGAAAAATCAATCAGAGGAAGGAAAAGAACAAGCTAAGGCAGAGTAAATGGGAATGTAGCAAAAAGTGACAACATGAAACATGGCATGGAATTATGAGCTGTGGAAACTGATCATAACCAAACCCCAAAACAGAGACACTACCCAACCAAGCAACCAGTCTAATCACCGTATCTGATGTTATGGACTTACAACATAACAGAAAAAAATAGATTGAAACTTTTTTTCTGTACTCTGAATTCTGCAGTTTTTAAGATGTGTAAGCAGAAGCCTTAAGAAAATTAGCGAGTTATGTCCAGTGGGGCACAATATGTCAAATGCTGTTTCTATACTTCTTCATTTTGAACATGTTTTCTTAAACAAGAAAACAACATTTCCTTGTTGAAAAAGGCTAAAATTGGTATGAGCAGATTTTTTCAGAGTCAAGTTTGTTTGGTATCATGACCAGAAATAGAAAGCAAGGAGAAGAAAAATGTTAAAAACCATCAAACCAAACAAATTGACAACAGATGTAAAGAAAAACTGCATGGAAATTAAAATAGAATTGCATGGTAACATAAGGGCAGAGAAACTATATATATCTTATTGGAGAGCTTTAAACATTAAAAAAAAAAAAAAAAAAAAAAAAAAAAAGAGAGAGAGAGAGAAGTCCTCCAGGCAATATTTTCACTAATGGAAATTATTGCACCTATTACACTTCATTTATACGAAACAACATTTCCTGGATTAAGTTGTATGTCCATGCCTTCTAGATGAGTTCAACAAAAGTACAGCAATTCAAAAATGTTATTTAAACATATTATTGTACAAACATTCATCACATTGTAAAGCCTTCGCAATTTCTTTAATGACTGTTTCCTACAGGGAATGACTGTTTTCTTCCATAGGGAAGGAACACCCCAATAATTTTCTTTGAAATTATGCAACTCTGTCCCTTCTTGCTGTCTAGTTCAGTAGCCTCTTAGTCCTCCTCCTCTAGAAGCAATCTGTTTCTATCATTCTCCCCATGGCCACTTTCCATTTGCTTCTTCATCAGAGTCTTCAATTCCTTCTTAAAATCATCCTTTTCACAGAAGTGGTCACAACTCCTCAATCAAGAGGATTAGAAGAGAGTCTTGCAGGTGTGTTGGTGGCTCTCCTTTTTTGTTCTCTTGGTTTTGTTTCTCAGTAGCATAAATGTAATACACATGCCTATTATCAGCTCCTGAGTGTATGTTTGGCATTGAATAATCTAAGTACATAAATTATCATGTACTCAAGATTCAGAGGACTGGATTACAAGTGGCTTGAAGGGATTTCTATTTTCTGTCATAGTTTTTGCTGTCTCACTGGAAGAAAGGAAGGTTTATTGGTCTTTACTCCTCAAAATGTTTCAAATTTTTATCAGAATTCCTGTCCTCCCTTCCTCAAATACCGGTGACTGACTTAAGTGCAGGGTTACATTTCCCAGTTACTCAGCAACTTTGTATTGGAATTCCTTTAGTACTCTTCAGGGATATACTTTCTGAGCATTTTTTACTATTTCTTCTACTGATGTGTTCCAAGGCCTCTGTTACTGGCTCATCAGTTTGAGACAACTTCTAATTATCTGTACAAAGCACTGTTTGGGTGAAGAAACCTAAGTTCCTCCATAGCAAACACCAGTACAAAGAGTTCATTAAGCTTTACCCCTAAAAGCGTGCTCTTTTACACCCCCATCATCCAGCAGCCTCACAGAGTTCATGAACCATGGACTCCTGTCTCACGTATTTGAGAAAGATGTTATTATCCATTAGCAGGTTGTTTCTGTTCTGTCATGTTGTATATTTCTAACACGTTAAGGTTAAATGCTGTTTTTTTTTTTTTGGAATGGATGTGACTTGCTCGCTCTTTTTGAGATTGTTTTTCTTGCTTCTGACCTGTGTAAATTACTGTTTAATGGTGTTTTTCTTTGTTGATCTACAAAAAAAAAAAAAAAAAAAGGAAAAAAAGGATGGTTTATGTTTCCTCTGAACTTGTACTTCTGCTCTGTTTCTACTTTGAAAATGTCTTCATCTTTTGACTATTTTTTTAATCTTCTAATAAGTTTCCTTATTGTTATATAGTTGTCCTTTTTTAGGTTATGTGCTCTTTCAGTGACTGTTTCTGAGTTATGTCCTAAAAATATATTGAATTTAAATAATAAAGGTCACTATGTCAGTATTATTTTGATCCAAACACAATAGTGTACTCAGGAAACGATCAAGCCTTGTTTCTCCTCTTCTGGGTGCTAGTTGTTGCAAGTAAATGTAGTTTAAATATGTGTAAAATTGTTTGTTATGCACCACTGTGACATTTACCCAGTATGTGTGGAGATAAATCTCTATTATTAATCTTCTGCACTTGCAGTGTCTCATTTTCTTTAGCACATCACAATAACAGCCACTTCTCTAGATGCTTATGCATGTAATAATAATAATAATAATAATAATATCCCTTTTCAATTTAGGCATGGAAATTTTAGTCTGTAGGGATTCAGTTCTTGTTATTGACATTGTTAATATTTCTGTCCTGTTTGACTCTCAGCTTTCCTTAACATTTAAATGCTCCTTCACAGATGTGATTACTATGCCATTCTATATAATCAGATCACCTTCAGTATTACTGTGCACCACAGATTTTACTTTCCACCACATTTTTTTGACATATCATTATTATCACAGAGCCAAATATTCCAGTTCACCCCCAGATTTTTAGCTTCTTGTAAAGTATTTGAAAGCAACCTCGAGCTGGTCACCTATTTTCATAGACTTACTGTGATAGCAGTTTTATTTGTTGAGACTGTAATTCATTAATTCCTGTTAGAATTTTATCAGATTATACGTTAAACTTTGAAAATATAAACCTCAATTTAATCCCTCGAATATCTGTTGCATCAGGTTATTCTTCTTCATCCCTTTTGTCTTAGCTTACTGTTTTCTGAACTATGCCTTGAGCTAAATCAGCAGGACCTCTCCACTTTGTCTAGTCCTTGTCAAGATATAAGAAATGTTTCAGAAATATGGTATCACAAACATCTAAGTCTTGGGCTGCTTATAGGCTCTTCTTTTGCCTTGAGCAATTCTTTCTCGTCCCCTTCCTTCTCACTGCAGTATAATTCCTTCCCACCACCCAAGGAGACAGAATTATATTGTCCTCTTCACTGACCTGATGTCCCGTGGCAGCAGTTTCCCACATTGGCTTGCTTGCTTTAAGCCTAGGCCCCTATGCTCTTACTAATCCATATACATATATATACATGTATATATATTCATAATATGTAGCAGAGTATTTTCCACCTATGAGTTTCATGTAGCCAGGATACTTGGCTGGCTTCCCCTCTGCAGATGGGAGGAGTCAACAATTGAGATATCATCCGTTGACCTGATTGTGTTTGTTGTTCCTATAAATAATTCCTGGATTACATGTTTGTTCTCCTCTAGGTCAGTTGCCAACTAGGTGACTAGAGACCACAAGGAAGCTAGAAGTATATTCACATATAAGAAGCGAATAGATCAAAAATAGATGAAAAAAACTCTGGGGCAGTGTGGGAAAGTACTGGAAGACTGTAACAACTGAGGTCTGACACCCAAAATCCAGCTGACAGAGTCAAGCCAGGGAGGTAAGCTTGGGTTCAGAGTGCGTCCTAGTGCAAATCATTTTTTTTTTTTAGTTAGGCTTCCACTAAGTCTTGTCAATGGTTGAAAGTAAGTCCGTGTTGAAGACATTTAGTCCTAAATGGTTAATAATTTTTTTGCAACAACTGATTCTGTGCGTGAGTGAGGAGTGCATGTTTATTACCTGTGTAGAAAGAAGGGGAAAGTCTTTTGCACTCCCAGCAAAAACAATCAGCATAACAGTGTTGCAACACAGTTGCCTGTGTTCAGTTTTACTTTCAGTGCTGCCTTGGAAGGTCTCTGTTCAGTAAAACCACTCCTAATCAGTTTAGGATTGCTTTCCTGAAAACATTACCTCTGAACCTGCAAGTTTTGTTTGCCAGAAAGCAATCAATGCACGGTCTGCTGCAATCTGTCAGACACAGGGTTTGTGTTTTTTCCAGTGTGCTTCCAACAAGCATTTTCTTGCATTGTGAGGCCTGTGCAAAAGAGATAAGGCCAGCCTCAAACTCCTGAACAAGCCTGAAAAGGCATTTTTTTTTTTTCAGCAAGAAAAAATAGATGATGCTGAATTTTAATCCAGATCTGCATCTCAAACTGGAAGCTCAAATCTATCTCTATTTCACATGCACTGACCCCCACAATAGCAGAAAAGATTAATGTTTCTTCAGGACAAATAAGGGTTGGTGGTTCCTTTGCCTTGCTTTTCTTTGGAAAGCCCCTGAATGTGGCAGACTTTTGCAGTTTGTTCACTACACAGCTTTGCTTCTGTGTGTGACCATGTCAACTGCTGTCAGAGCATCACTGCCATTTGTCAATGCCTCTGATGCTTCATTTCCCAATGTTTTGTCTTGGACCAGTTATTGGACTTCTGCT